AGTGAACCTAGGAGCCAGTGTGTGTGCACCGTGTGCAACTTGCCTTGTGTGAGACTTATAAGAATACATAGGGTGTGTTCTGGATGTGTGTTTGTGTGTCTGTGGAGACTGTGTCCATGTAGACAAGTGGGTGAGCGCTGGTGTGGGTGTTGGCGAGCACACCTGTGTTGTSGGCGTGAGGATAAGAGCATGTGCATGTGCCAGGGTGGTGTCTGCATGGGGTGTCAGGCGTGAGTGTGGGGCTGAGCCAGTGGGACAGACTTCGTCTCTCTCCGTCGGGGGCTCGACTTCCCCACACTGGAGGCTTCTGGGAGCCCCTGACGGTGCAGTCCAGTTCCAGGCGTGTAACGTGCTCCCCTCCTGGTCCCCTGGGACCGCTGCGTCTCCGGTCCCGCGCCAGGCGAGGCCAGGCATTCGGAGCCCGCGCCCCTGCGCCGCGCGCTCCCAGGCCTCCGACGGGTGCGAAGCCCACGCGCGGGGCGCTGCAGGGACGCCGCGACCTGGAGGCCGCTCGAGCACAGACCGGGAGCGCGATGCCCGCCGCCCGGGCAGGACGGAGGGGGCGACAGCAGACCGGCGCTGCCGGATCAGATCGGGTGCGGCACTGGGAGTTCTCCAAGGTGCTAAAATAAACCCTGCGAAGGATCAGGTTTCCTGACCAAAATAACCCAGGAGCGGCCTCAGAAATGCGAACTGAGAACGCGATCYGCGGCGGGGCGCCAGGGCTGGGGAGGAGGCCATGAAAACTGCCTTCCGCGGGACTCCCGGCCCCTGCTCCAGCCCCCCGCCCCTGGCGTCCCCTTCTCTTGTGGGATCATCACCCCAAACGACAGCCCTGTGTGGGCTGGTGGTCTTTGATTGCCAGGTCTGCAGTAGATTAGAGCCGGGCTCTGGAATCGGTCATTCTTGCAATATTTATGGGGTGCCTACTATTGCCAAACTCTGCCTGTTCACCTGGTTGTCACCCATGAGCTAAGAGACAGTGGTTCCTGCCCCTGGGTGTTGCTGTGTTAGTAGGAGAACACAGACCATGAACACCACTAGCCACAGAATAAATAAGCAGAGTGTGTGGGTTGTTAAATAGTGACACATACTTCAAAAAAATAAGYAAATAAAAGGAAAAAACAGCAGGGGATGGGGGGTAGGGTGATGTTTGAATCTGGCTCACTGCTTGCCTGGAAAGAATCGCTTTGCCTCTGAGCTTTGGTCTTTCTGTTGGTGCCCTGGGACAAAGCACCTGTCTGTGAAGTTGCTGTGAGGTCCCACCGGGTGGTRCAGGGACCCGCCCTCCGAATCTCCTGCAGCAAGTGTGAAGTGCAAGTTACTGAGGAATATGCTTGTTCTTAATGGTGGGAAAGGAATCTGAGACACTTGGAGGCTGCAATGTCCAGACTGCACCAGGGCCCAYAAAGCTGCCGGGAAACTCTTGCTCTCAGGGAAGAGGCAGTGCCGACAAGTGGTTAGAGCCAGAGAGTTAGGCTGAGGGCTGGATCTGGACCCTGGTAGCAGCTGTGGGCTCTGGCAAGCCACATGGCCCCCACCCTGACCCTCAGCAGTCCACAGGGCTGGCACAGAAGGCTGTGCAGAGCCTGGGCTGCACAGCCGTGCCGACAGGTCTCAGGCCGTGTCAGAGCCACCGGCCTGCGCAAGTCCCAGCTCTGGCCTTGGCCTCACAGGTGATGTCGCCACTGAGTCTGCTCTTCCTCCTCTGAGATGGGCAGAGGGAGGCCGGACTTCACCTGGTTGCCCAGGACTGTCCATGGTCCCTCTAAGCACTGCACCCGAGAGCTCAGGTCAGCCCAGCAGACTCCACGGGGTGCCCCCAAGTCACTGTTTCACTTGGCACCTGCCACTTTAACCCTTCCTTTATATTCTGCTTAATGAACAGGGACATGTGGATAAGGATGGCCATCCTGGGACAGTTTTGAGTACAGTTGTCACAAAATGGGATCAACCTAAATGTTGAACGATGGAGGAGTGGCCTGTATAGATGGTGTCCACTGTGTGACAGCAGGCTTATCAGGCAGCCTAGGAAAATAAAGGGGTCATCATGGGGACGTGGCCAGGCTTACATAGGTGGGTGAAATGGGAGCTAAGTTTTTAAAGAATGTTCAACACGATCCTATTTTAAATGTCTATTTGTGTATCTGTCTATCTCAATAGAGATATGCAGCTGGATATGCAGCTGTTTCACACACAGATATAGTTTGTTTAACATATATTCTTTTCTGACTATTAAAATCGTGCTTGGTTGGTGTACAGTGTCTCCATAAATGGAAAGGCGACAGTGTCCTGAGTGTTCCACTTGGCCACATGGCCACAGGATGTCCCCGTGTCTGCCCTCTGGGACGTGGCAGTGAGGTGGGCTGCCTCATGCTACGCTCCAGACRAGCTGCTTCTACGCTGTGATGTGTATTCAACACCATTCCAGGACGGCCATCCTGACCCCCACACCCCTGTGTGTTAAAGCCATTAAGTGAAACAGTGCATCGGCATACCCCGTGGGGTCTGGTGGGCTGAGCTGAGCTCCCTGTGGCGGTGCCCAGATACAGAAAGCGTGAAGGGGCCCATAGAGAGTCTGTATTTATTGCATGTACTTCAAAAAGTAGTAACATTTACACAGTAAGAAAAAAATCAGGTGATACTCTGGCGTTCGACAGAMCACTAATTGTGTCAGGGCCGCGTGTCCGGCCTCCCTGGCTGGACTGCAGGAAGAGATCAATGAAAGTGTTGAAGGAATGAATGAATGCTTCCCGAGACTCTTGACGGTGGACTGTGAGGTGCACACTCATGGAARTCTATGGACTGAGGAGCAGCACTTGCTTCTCAGCTGTCGGTGAACTTGCCCAGGGTCACCCCAGCTTACCGAGGACAGCAGCAGTCTCAGGGTCACAGGGGAAGCCAGTACAGCTTCCTCTGAGTGAGCCTTCACATCACTCCCTCACCAGCCCTCTGAGGGGGAAAACCGGCTGGGCCACGTGGAAGGACCTGCCTGTGGTCATTCAGTGGAAGTGGTTTGAGCCTGTGTCTTAACCACTGCCGGGCTGAAGCTAAATGAGACCCCGTGGCGTCCCCAGAACTGCTGGCAGCTGCAGCTAGCCCRAAATGCTGACACAGCCTCTGGGTATTATTAATAGCCCCCGCTGGGCTGGGCTTCTTAGCCCCTGCAGAGGCCAGCCCAGGTCATGGGCCCCGCCCAGGGAGGGTAAGGTGGGTGCCCTGTGGAGAGCTGAGCAAGCAGATCCCTGTGGCCTGAGAGATCTGAGTCCAAAGGCCCTGGTTTCCCCAGCCCAGGGACTGCTGAGGAGCCGGACCCCCGCTACTTTTGGTTTCCTGCCTTTATCCCTCTGAGCCTCGGCTTCCTCGTCTGTGACATGGGGGTATCACTGGTTAAGTCGGGTCCGTGATAAAGCACAGCCCTCTGGAGTGCAGGGTGAGACCGCATACACCAGAGGGCAGGATGGAATGCAGCCTGGGACCTCCCTGCCACCAGAGTGCCCCAATCTGAGTGGACCCTCTGGAAGAGGAAGAGGAGGAGTGAGGCCAGCCTCGCCTAGTCTAGCCCAGCTGGACCCAGCCAGGGTGTTTGCAAGGAACCTCACATGGAGGGCTCCTGGGTTCTGGCTTCATTCACCCATCAGGGATGAGGGCAGGTCCTTCTGAAGGGGGCTCTCAGAGGGGAGAGGAAACTGTGCTTCTGTGTCAAATGGAATCAGTTTCTAACCCACAGAGCCCAAGGCTCACTCTGTGGTAGGGACTGAACTCTGCAAAGACCCTGAGAGGTAGGCACTATTATGTCTATGTTACAGGTGGAAAAACCAAGGCTCAGGGACGTGGTGTGACTTGTTGGAGGTCTCAGAACTGACAGGTGGCAGAGCCCCTGTGGCCAGTGTTCACTCCACCCCACACACTTCCTGTCCTTGGGGGACTGTGGGGTGGGCCTTGTTTTGTGGCACACTCCATATCTGGTAGAGAAATCTCAGCCTTCTGCCTCCATCTGGGCTGGGCAGGCAGGTCATCAGTGGCCTCCCCGAGTGATGAGACCAGGATGTCTGCTTTGGATTCTTCCAGGCAGCCCCCATACACAGGTCCCGGTGGCCCTAAGAAGCTCTTCCCAGAGGTCACCTAGGTAGCTACAGGGAGGCCCAGCTCATATCCCAAATCTTTAGCCAGGACCTCTCGGGACGGCAGCCACGCTGGCCTCTGTCCTTCCAGTGCAGAGGGCTTGCCCCTGCCCAGGACTTCTCGCCTTCTCTTCCTTCCTGGGCCAAGCCCTCTCTGACCCCCAGATCAGACCCAGAGCCCTGGTTCTGTGGCCCTGCAGCACCTTTGCACACTTGTGACTGTTTTTGTGTCATTCATGAAAACCCCACTGGTGTGAGCTTCCCGGAGACAGGGACAGAGCTCTGAGCACAGGGCCCGGCTCTCGGTAACTGTGCATTGCCTGCAGCTGCTGTGGCTCTCCTGTCCTTGGCAAAACTCAGAGTACCAGGTACCATTGGCAACCTCCATTGGCAGACCTGTTATCCACCATCCATTACCCCTCCCTCTGACGAAATCAGACCTCAGACTGCATTCGATTGGGTTGACGTCAACCACAGCAAATTCACAGATTTAAAAAGAGAGGGAGGGAAGGAAAACCCAGCTGCCACCTTAATGAAATACTGTCACGGGGGAGGAGCTGGCCTGGCCCCAGGGACCCAGCATGATGCTCTTAGTGATGTCACCAATTCCATCATCTGGTGCCCAGAGAGGCCTGTGGCCAGGGCTCCACCTGCAGCCCATGGGACTAGGTCCATGCTGCCCAGGCCAAGGGGGCAGGCAGGCCTGGCTCGCAGGGGTCTGGATGGCTCAGAGGGAACCTGTTAAATTCAGGGGTTAAACCAGGACCCGACTCTGCCTGGGCCAGAGGCTGAGGCCACAGCTGAGTCCAGAACAGCAGAACTACATTTCCCAGAGTGCCCCAGAGCCCAGGGACAAGCCATTGGCAGATTTAAATAGCCCAGGCCCAGGCAGCCAGGCGGCAGCTGTGGACTCGTCCACCTCCCTGCAGCTCCATTGGCGCTGGCCCGGCATGGGTGGGCTCATTGGCTGTCCCGCTGGCACTGGCATCCCCTCGGAGCCTGGTGGCAGCCGGAGGTAAACAGCCACATGCAATCCTCCACTCTATATTTAACAGCTGCTGCGGGGAAGCAGGCAGCGGCAGCCGGGCCGGCCCTTGCCTTTGGGGAGAAGGCCCTCGGAGTGCGAGCCGGGCTGGCACTGGCCTGCTCAGGGTGAGCGAGGTCACCATGCCAGCTTCCCAGAGCCGGGCCCGCGCCCGGGACCGCAGCAATGTCCTCAACAGGGCTGAGTTCCTGTCCCTGAACCAGCCCCCCAAGGGCACCCCAGAGCCCCGGGGCTCTGGCAGGAAGGCCTCGGGGCCCTCGGCGCAGCCCCCACCCGCAGGCGACGGGGCCCGAGAGCGGCGCCAGTCTCAGCAGCTGCCCGAGGAGGACTGCATGCAGCTGAACCCCTCCTTCAAGGGCATCGCCTTCAACTCCCTGCTGGCCATCGACATCTGCATGTCCAAGCGGCTGGGGGTATGTGCTGGCCGGGCTGCGTCCTGGGGCAGTGCCCGCTCCATGGTCAAGCTCATTGGCATCACCGGCCATGGCATCCCCTGGATTGGGGGTACCATCCTCTGCCTGGTGAAGAGCAGCACGCTGGCCGGCCAGGAGGTGCTCATGAACCTGCTCCTGGGTGAGTGTCCCCGCCGGCCCCGCCCCGCCCCGCAGGACCAGCAGGGCCTCAGAAGCCAGCTGGACTGAGCAAATGAGTTTAAGTAGGAAGGGCGCCCCAGAAACGGGCAGGCCTCTGGCCTGGGGAAGCCAGAGCCTGACGCACCGAGGAGGCCCCTCGCCAAGTGAGGGCTGAGAGAAGGCAGAGGTCAGCGGGAAGCTCCAGGGGCCTGTTCTGGACAAAGGGCACCGCTGCCCAGGGGGCAGCTGGGGCTGGGCAGTGACCTCAGGGGCCTGAGGGGTGTCCTGGGCAGCAGGCGTCCTTGTTGGACTCCCTCCACGGTTGGGGTCCTTGTCCTTGACTAACACAGGCAGCACTTGGGATGCCCCCCAGAGCCCCCAGCCGGCTGGGTTCAGGGGCTTGTGAGACGCCAGGCTTCTCCCCACAGGGCCTGGGGTCCCTCCCACTCAGAGCCTGCTGGAGTCCTGACCTGCTCCTTCCCAGGAGAGTGGCTGAAGTGGGGGGGCAGGGGGCGCTGGTTATTGGTTTGTGTCTCTGAAGTCTTGGCTGCCACCAGCTCCTCTCGGTTAGTACCGTCTGTCCTTGCCTATTGCCTTGTGGGACCCAGGTGGAAGACAAGCGCCCCTCCGCCCCCGGGTGACACCTCCAGATGCCCGGGGCACTCAGGGAACCTCGGCCTCCACCTCCAGGCCAGGCCTGGGAGGGTTTTCCCACCCCTCGCCCCACCCCTCGCCAGGTGCCAGCATTCAGGGGACAGGGGGGTGGGGGTTCTCGGGCCAAACAACGTGGTCACAGGGGTCTTGGTTCCAAAAGGGGTGTGAGTTGGGCCACAGAGAACTTCCGTTCCAGAGGGAGTTATGGGGACTGAGTCTGGGGCCTGGCGCTCAGGGGTGCCCTGCAGGGAGGGAGGCAGAAGCAACCAGAAACCTGGGGAGGAGCTGGCTGGGTCCACCACCGCCTAAGCCTCTTGTTTTTATCACTAAATCATCATTATTATTATTTTATTCCAAATAAAAAGTCTCTCGATGCCAAACACAGTAGCCCACACCTGTAATCCCAGGGGCTCAGGAAGCTGAGTCAGAAGGATTGTGAGTTCAAATCCACCTCAGCAACTTAGCAAGGTCCAAAGCAACTCATGAGACCCTGTCGCTAAATAAAATATATAAAAGGGCTGGGCATGTGGCTCAGTGGTTAAGCGCCCCTGGGTTCTATCTCTAGTACCCTCCTCAAAAAAAGTCCCGTGAGTTTTGTGCCCCCTGTCATTCCCATTTTACAGATTAGGAAACTGAGGCTCCTATAAATAAATCGGTCTGACCAAGCCTCAGCTTGGGATCTGCACCTGGCCTGCCTGACCTACAGGCCTCTGCTCTCTGCAGGTGATCTACCAGGACCTTGGAAGGGAGGGACAGAGTCTGGTGGGCAGAATCTGCTCCCACTCTAAGTTTCTCTGGTGCCCACAGGAGCCATGGAGGGCTGTGGCTTGAGAACACTGTGCTGGAGTTAGGTTGCCTGGTGCCCGAGGTGGGACAGGGACGCGCTCTCCGGGGCCTGGGCTCCAGACCCCATCGGCTCCTGCCTGCCTTCCCCAGGTGGTGACACAGGGGATGGTGCTGAGCTTTGCTGAGTGTTTACTGTATGTCAAGCTGTGCGTGAACCACACGGCACTTTGCACCTGCACCACGACCTCTGAGCATTTAAAGAGGGGCCGGGGCTGGGGCTCAGGGGCAGAGCGCTTGCCTAGCAGCGTGAGGCACTGGGTTCGATCCTCAGCAACACATATAAGCAAAATAAAGATATTGTGTCCACCTAGAAGTCAAAAATAAATATTAAAAAATAAGAAGAACCTGARGCCCAGGGTGATGGTGCTGCAGCTAGCCAGGGGTGCAGGCATTATTCCACCTTTACTTTGCCCCTTCCTGAGGAGGGTGAGGGAACTTGGGGCAGGTGAGGATCAGGGAAGAAATCAGGGTCTCAGCTGTCCCCAGACAGTAGGTGCTCCGCTAAGGGGTGGCTCCCCACCAGAGGGGTGTGCTAGCAGCTGCCCGCTTCACCACCTAAAGTAGCTCCTCTTCAGTCTGTGCCTCACACACGAGCCTCGGCTTGTAGGAAAGCTCCGCCTGAGGCTGGGTTTGCTCGGGGATGGAGTGCTTGCCTAGTGTGCACCTGCCTAGTGTGCAGGAGGCCCCGGGATCAAGCCCTGGTACTGGAAGAAAAATATAGAAATTAGGCCTGTCCCTGGTGTTTAAAAATTTGCAACTCACTTGTTGGATTAGGTTTCTGGCTCTTGGCAGCTCTTAGCTGCTATGGGCCCAGGAGTGTGTGCCCCACAGGGCAGAGAACAAGATTGGAGACGCCTCCCTTCTTCTTCTTCTTCTTCTTTTTTTTTTTTTTTTTTTTGGTACTGGAAATTGAACTCAGGGGCTCTCGACCACTGAGCCCATCCCCAGCCCTATTTTATATTTTATTTAGAGACAAGGTCTCTCTGAGTTGCTTAGTGCCTTGCCATTGCTGAGGCTGGCTTGGAACTCAAAACCCTCCTGCCTCTGCCTCCTGAGCAGCTGGATTACAGGTGTGCGCCACCATGCCCAGCCATGCCTCCCTTCTTGAGTGACAATCACTTTTAAAAAATCTTTAAGGACATCATTTATTGAGCTTCATTATGTACTACTTGCCGTAAACAGCTAGGATTTTAGATTGCAAAAAGCCTCCTCGATGATCTTCGAGGGCAATGTCAATATATCCATTTTACAGATGAGTAGACTGGGGTCAGGAGGACCAGGTGACCTGCCCACCCTCACAGCTGTGAGGGATAGGTCCAGGAACCAGATCCAAGGCCTCCGGGCTGCCAGCCACACCTTCCCCTCACCGCGGCCTGAGGCGCAGATGTGTCACCCTTAGGCTCACTCCACTGCTGCCTGAGCAGGGCTAGGAGGAGGTTTTCTGTCTGTGTGTCCAGGTGCCAAGACCATCACAGATGAGGACCTGCCACAGAGCAGCCTCACTGGCCAGGTGGAGCAGGCAGGGTGGGTCTGGGGCCCAGGAAGCAGCTTGGTGGGAAAACACTGCCTCCAGGGCCAGCAGTAGGCTCTCGCCCTGCAGCTCTGCCCTGACCCCAGGAGGACTGTGGACCCCCTTCTCTACCTCGGGAAAGCTGGCTCTGCGCTGGGGTCAGACGGGGTTTGTCCAAGTCCCTGCTCTGCCCTGTACTCTGTGCAAACTTGGTTCCCACTCTGGCTGTGTCTCTGGATCTGTGCAATGAGGGTGCAGGGCGGTGCTGGGGTTCCAAGGAAGCTGGTTAAGTACAAGGCCAAAGTCATAGTTGCCTGGAGCATGAGGGAGCCCTTGGCCAGCCCTGCCCACCCCCTCTGCCCCAGAGCATGGCCGACTTCCTGGGCAGTCTCCTCTTGGGGCCTAGGAAGGATGCCAGCTAGGCCAGAGAATCCCTGTCCTCGGCTCTGCACACCTCGCAGCAGTGGTCCCTTGCCCTCCCCCTCCCCCTGTCTCCCTCCCTCCGCAGTGCACTCTGCCATGGCTCCAACTTGCCAGGCCAGAAGCAATCTTAGCAGCTGGAAAAAGTAGACTCAGGGGCTGGGGCTGGGGCTCAGTGGTGGAGGGCTGGCCTGGCATGTGCAAGGCCCTGGGTTGGATCCTCAGCACCATATGAAAATAAAGATTAAAAAAAAAGTGACCTCAACCAGACCTGAGTACAAATCCTAGACTTGCTGTGGGCTCAGGCAAGGACTTCACCTCTCAAAGCCTCAGTTTCCTCATCTGTTAAGTGGGTTGTTGGGAGTCTTCACTGAAGAATCACAGTGTTCGGCGTGTACTAATGCTGGGTGACGCTTGTGTAACTATGATTGTTGTTAGCAGCAGCAGCAGCAGTGTTGACACCGTCATTATCAGAAGGCCCAGGCCACCTCCTGCCAGGTCCTCTCCAGGCTTGAAGTGCCAGTAAAATGACCCCACGCTCCTTCTTATCCCTCCCCTGTAGCCCCAGCTTGATGAACCCAGGGGAATTAGGTGACAGGTAACCAACCCATCCCGGTTCACCAACCTTGTCCTCCTTCCTTATGGGCCTCTTCTGGTTCTGGGGTGGGCAATGCCCTGTGTCTTGTTGCTGTGATCTGAGTCCTTTATTAAAGTGTGTGGGTTTTTTTTTTTTTTTTTGGTCCTGGGGATTGAACACCCAACAGTGCTTAACCACTGAGCCACATCCCCAGCCCTTTTTATTTTTTAATGTTGAAACAGAGTCTCCCTAAATTGCTGAGACTGGCTTTGAACTCGCAATCCTCCTGCCTCAGCCTCTTGAGCTGCTGGGTTTACAGGTGTGTGCCTCCTGTCAAAATTTTCCTGAATATGAAAACAGTCCATTTGCATAGGTCATTCTTTGTTAGGGTGATACATGTGTGTTGGGGTGGGGTGCAGCTCCATGGTGGAGTACATGCTTTGTCATACATGAGGACCTGGCTTTGATCTATATGAACATACAAGTTATTTCAATAATTTTTGTGTGCGGCTCAGTGGCATTAAGCTCAGTGCCATGCAACTGTCACCACTGTCACCACCGTCCACCTCCAGAACATGTTCATCAATAAAACTAACCCCCATTTGCTCCCTCCCCCCTACACCCAGCGGCCACCACGTGGTGGCTTTCTGTCCCTATGCATTTGGCTCTAGGGACCTAATGTAGGTGGACCCCATAGTATTTGTCCTCCCGTAACTGGCTTGTGTCACGTAATGTCCCCAGGGTTCATCTACGTGATAGCACAGGTCAGAATTGCCTTCCCTTTGTGGCTGAAGAGTAAGTACTCTGTGTGATGCTGGATCTCGGCTTGTGCGTGCTCTGTTGCCCTGTGGCGACTGTGCCTGGGCTGCCCTGAGTCCTGCTGTCCCTTCATCTCTTCCTGCTGTGAACTCACAGTGGAATTGCTGAATCCAGTGGTGATTCTGTGCAGCTGTTTGGAGACCGGGGCCATCTTCCTTGGTGGCAGTCCTGTCTT